TAAAGGGCTTTTTTTTTTTGGCCTGTCAAATGCAGACTTGTTGCTTATATGAAATAATGATTTAACTCCTATCCATAATTTTAAATGGCTAAAATGTATTGGGAGACACAATGTGGTGTATGTGTGGCTTTAAAAATTATTTACTTGCCAAATATTAAGGGCTGTATTTCTAGACATCTTAACTACATACTAGAGAAGCCAGTTACAATTACTTTTTGCAGCAAGCTGGTAAAGAAAAAAGAAAAATTCCATACACGTCTTATTCTGGAATATTTCTTCAAAATAACAAGCCATTCCCACAGAGGAATTTACAGGTATGAAACAAGTCATACACTAATTTGCTATACAGCAAACCAATTACTGATATTAATGCCTGCCTGCACAAAAGTTGTTTAACTATTCCACCATCACATTTGTTAAAAATATAAAAGTACTGTTGATTATTTGAAAAGGTGTTAATTTTTTCCTGTAGGCATGTGTCAGCTTAGACTGAGATATTTTTAGTTTCATTTAGTATTGTAAAAAGTGTTCTGTTTTTAAAATTATTGTCAGCCTGGGTTGCCTATGGCAATAAAAGCTACAGATACACTGCACTGATATTTGGGTTTAGGGCAAAGCCTAAGAGCTCTCTTAATAATCCACTTAATACGTTTCAAGCACAGTTAATCTAGAAACTACATTTGCCTCCTGTAAGGGTATATAGGATACTTCGAGTAGCACATCCCCTTTGACAACATTGGAAATCTAGTAACAAATGCTGAAGACCTTTTCTTTCAAACCTTCTTTGAAAGGACCTTAGATGGCTTTCAGCTTACCTTTTGCTTTCATAGAAAGAAATTAGGCTTAAATTTTGAAGTGAGACTAGACATTTTTGGATACTCAGCTTCAGCTATTTTGAAGGATGCGATTTTTAAGAAGCTTAGCATCTAACCCTTGAAATTAAACATGGAAACTAGACAACTTTGTAGGCAAACAAAGTTATGAGCCTTTTCTGAAAATTTAGCTCTGCTCGCCAGCCTTTACCTATTCTAGTTGTTTCCCATTCCTTATTATTCATCATCACCTATCAGATGACTTTCCAAATTCTCTTCCTGCCACCCAAAAGAGACATCCCTCCAATAATATGGACTTAACGTAAAGTAGCCCTATCGCTGCTTTGTTTGCTTCTTTCCCCCAGTCATACCTAATATTTAGTGCTGGCCAACATTTGCCTTCAAACTGATCTTGGCAGAAACCCTCCATTTTACAGATCACAAAACTGAGGCAGACAGCCTTGGCAAAGAGAACACACGCAGCTCTCAAATCCAATGGCAGCTGGAGTTGCTCAAAACTTCAGACTCGTTATAATGCAGACCTACTGCATCGTCATGGCAGAGACAGACATGGGATGCAGCAAGTTAAGACCTCCTGTCTACAGCTATGACACTAACCCCACCACAGAAACAAAGGAAGAACACGGCTGTTGAGCTTTTTAGTCCTCATACAAGCATACCCTAAAGAGACTTTTTTTTATATATATATACACACACACACATACACACACACACAGAGAGAACACCCAAGAATAAGCAGACCAAGATTGTTTTATCCTGGCTTAGCAAGTCATGGTTCACCACTGCCATTTTTAGCCTGAAGTATCTCATTCTCTGTAAGGCGTATCGTCAACTCTGTCCACATCATTAAACACACAGGTAAAAGCTCCAAGGTGCAGTAAGATCAGTTTAACCTGTTAACTAGCTATAATTGCCTTTCATATCTTAGCATTTTATAACACATTATCTAATGGGTTTTAAAAAAGCACCTTTTTCCTAGTGTACACATAGAACAAGCTCGTGTGGGTCCAACATACCATCAGTAGACAGACTAGATCCCTTTCCCAGACCCATCTGAACAGAATGCCTCCAGAAGTCAATAATGTGGTGGTTCATCCAATAAGCTAAAATTTTCATCCTACAAAATACCAAAGAGTAGACAAATTACCCAGAAAATGCTGCACACAGGCTTTTTTCTTGAAAACTGTCAAATTTTGTGAGATGCCATAACCCTGGATTAACACAGACATAAAACGCCAGTTGCTGTTCTGTTGTTTTTCAAGCTGATAAGGAGAAAAAAAATTAAAAAGAATCCTAAATATTTCAGTGGTCCTGGAATTAATGCAGTGTTGCAACAGATGGTGAGTCAGCTGCCAAAAATTAATATGAAACATAATATTTAACGCATAGCGATTATTTTTCTCAAAAAAGATGCAAGCACATCCTTTTTTTTTGGCAGTGAAGACAAAGCCTATTGTGATAAAAATCAATCCCTTCCAAAACCAACAGGTCGGGTACAAGTAAGTGTAACTGCTGAAGAGAGGCAGTTGAGTTGTCTACCTTCAATCACATCTTCAATTCTTTCCCCTTCAAGGAACCACTTGGGTAAATGTACTTCTTCCTGAGACAGAACATTCACAGCAGCCTGGAAGTCACACAGGTTCTATGTTTAGGAGCAGATATGGACCCAGCCAACACACTGCAAAGAATTTCTGGCTAAACTGGGAAACAGGATGGAGAGCAAAGCTAGGCTGTTTTGGTCCCCAAAGTAAGGGAACACAAAGATGGGTCTGCTTAGATCTGTAGTAACTACTGGCATGTAAGGTTTTTGTTTTCCTTAGCTTATTCTCTTTCTCATTAAGACCCATTTTAATTCAGATAGTGTGCTGATTTACAATCCACCACAGACAATTATGAGTTATCGAGGACCAATGAATTTACAACAGTACTTTTGAGTTCTGCCAGAAACCAGGAAACTTTTTTTGTAGCCACAGACAATGAGCAAAAGATACTTGCCCTGGGCCATTTTCTCAAGGAAAGACTAAAAAAAATCCTGGCTGTGGACAGTAAGACTGTAGCACAGCACACAGTAGGACTATTCCTACACTGAGTACAGTCAGTGACAGTCTGAAAAGCAAACATACCTCAGACAAATGGCAGGAATTGGGGACTGAAGCTCACCAATATTTTGTAGGAAAGTTAAAAGCATCAATCACTTGATAAATCTGTTATCAAAAGAAAAACACTTCAATACTTACAGTGCGAGAGAAAAAGGGAAATACTGACTACTAAAATGAGGATAAAAAGAATTTACTGTCCATCTCATGCACACATTATGCTTTTCACAATACACTTCATTTTCTCTTTCATTTTTACTCCTTACCAAGGGTCAAAGCTTTGTCTACACAGCAAAACTAAATAATTGCTGACAAACGGGTGCAGCCAAACGCGATTTCCTTTGTCTACACTTGTAACAAGAGACATACCCTGCTCTAGTTCAGCTGCACCCCTGAAAGAATGATTTAAGCTGAGTGGGTCCCACCCGGCTCCTCCAGAACACACACGCAGAACAGCCAATGCAAGAAAAACATTTAAAAATTATTAGGGAAATGAACAGTAAAAAACCCACCAGATTTGGCAGAGGGATTGAAAGCATCTGAAGTTACTTAAGTGTTTTGACCAAAAAAACCCTCAACTGACTTGCCAGTTGCCCGAGTTACAGAGTCACCCATTTCTACTTCACTTTGTCAGAGAGGAGCCTGTGATAAAGTAAATTGGTGACAATATCAACAGCATCGTTGCATTTATTTTGCGTGGAAAAAACCCTGTAAGCTTATGAACTGGAAGAAAGCATCACCAATGTTAATTTGAAAGACAGTCTGCCACTTGCCCTATGGAAGGCAAATCCAACTAGTGCAGATCGCACCGGTAGTGTCTACCATGACTTCAAATTATGTCAATATTCCCTCTCACACTTTAACAGCCAAAAGAATTACATTCTGCTTGGATTAATGCAGTACACTGTCATTAGGCTGGCAATTAAACCCCATTTCTGAGATTGTGTGATCTGAGTCACCAACATCTGCAAATATCTTTACATCTTGTGTAATAGCTGGCCTCAGATCTTGATACACCAAAGTAAAAAGGCCTTTTTAATGGCTCCCACGTTACTTTGTGCTTACAACTTCATGATGACAGCAGCTTCTCAAAACAGCCCATGAATCAAATTTATTATCCAGTTTGTCATGTGGGATTTTCTTAACTCTAAGCCAATATAGCAACAACGAATCAAGGTCATTGTTTATACTGCATGAATAAAAATTAACCACCTGTTCAAAAATTTTTCTTTTGACATTGAAAGGTATTTGGTCTCACAGACTTTTGACATATGCAGCACTCACCAGTTCTTCTACACATCTGAGAACATGTGAGGAAACACTCTCAAACAGCATCTCCTCTCATGCCAATCTGTCTTGACTTTAAAAAAAAATAAATTTGTCAGCCATCCTACTGCTTTCAACATCAGTGGTTACACACATGAGAAAGACAATCCAGTTGCAGGATGCTCAGCCCAGGAATTAATTTCCTCCCCAGCAGTATCATTGAATATTTAAACAGATCAGTGATTTTCAAATGATGGTTTAGTGGTGAAAACAGCAGCACAGGAAGATCTTTTTTAGCAGCCATATGGATCAGAGAAGAGACAACATGTTATGGGCTTTGAAAACAGTCTGGCTCTACAAATCCATTGAAGAAAGAAAGAAATATTACCTTCTCCAACCATAGAAAGTGATACGATAACCATCTCTTTCCTTAAATTAGAGATTAACCAAGATGCATAATAAAACATTAGGCATACAGTTCTAAATAAGGATTGTTACCTTTAAAAATTCCAGTCGTCTTTTACTTCAGTAGTTACTTGCCATACTTGCCATACCAGAGGAACACCCACTGTTTACATAGAGCATAACCAATAAACACATCGCCTAGCAGTAACCACAATCAAAGCCAGGAAATTTTGCTTGAAGTGCACACTCACAAAGTTTCTCTACAGGGTTTGCTTTGAAGTGGACTGCTGCAAGTGACCCAAGGTGATCTACAACAAGCACCTGCATTTATAGTGCAAAGAAGGCCATGCCGATGCCCCGAGCCCTTCCCCACCAGAAGCGGGCATGCCACGGGCAGTACCTCCTTGATCCGCTTCACGAGTGCGTTCTGATCAAAGGCAACCGCTTCTGCACACTGCTGAAGATGATCTTGGTACCGGAGACACAGCTGCAGCACCTGCTGGGGGTCCAGCTTTTCCAGTTTGGTGTTGGTTGGAGAGGTCTGCCCACTGAGGAGTCCTAAAAGGGAAGGGAAGGGCCAGAGTTAATGTGACTGTTCATATAACTAGTTCAGCTGCAAGCCAAGAGGCAGCAGAACAAACCCAGAAGAAAAGCTTTAAAAGAAGTAATTAAAAACTAATTCAGCATCTTAGACTACTGAATGGACTTCAGCAATGTAATAGTCCAGTGAAGGCTATAAGCGCGAAGGGCATGGATTGAAGACTTATGGATGTTTAGGATTTATAGCAGTGCAAATAACAGTTTGCCATACAGCTCAGCCCTCCTTGACAGAACTTACACACAGACTTTAACTGCAGGTCCATAATGCACAACAGATTGGTTTTCAGCAATACGCTGCAGAAAGTGAGTCCTGTTTCTTCTCCTCCACCAACAATCATGAGCTCTGAAAAATGAACCCCCTTCCTCATTTACATACACCAGAAGGGGAAGGAGTTGAGATCTGCATTCCCATACAGGCACGGGACTCAAACTATGTTCTGATTTTGACAGTGTGATTCTAGTGATCTCTAAAAATCATTACAAATTCACAGGTCCCCCAAAACAAAACTGAATTAAAAGAAGACCCACCTAAGTTAAATTCTTAGGGATGAAATGCCCATGTTTTGTATACCTTGCCTTTTTTAAATCTTCATAATCCTTTCATTTTCTAAAATTTTTCTTTACAATCCCAAAGACTAGCGATATATTTTTTTTTTAATATGGAATTAAGAATCTTACCTACTCACATGACTCACAAAAAGCTCACCAAAAAAATGTATTAGGCTTAAAATGGGACAGTGGTAATATCCAGAGGAGCAAAACTGTTCAGAGAAATTTCTCCTAGCCCAACTTGAGAACCTTTGCTGAGCTTAAGCATACATGTGTCATACTGACCACTTTCCCCAAAACTGCTGGAAAAAATGATGCTAAACTCTAAGGCCATCCTTTTTATTTTTTTTTTTTTGCTATTTCATTTACTTAGTTTAATTTCATTTTCCTTCAGCGTTAGCACAACTTTTTCCTTGTTGGGACACCATCTGTGACAAACAGCACATACACACAATCTGCTTTTCCCAAAACATCCGTCAAGCTATGTAAACTGAATTCAGTGACTGCACGCATGTGCCCTTTGGGGCTCTCAGTTTACAGACAGGAAAAGACATTAAAACAGCAAATGTAAGCAAGTATCACACCAAGCAATTAAAAAAAGTAATAAATGCCAGTTATTTGGATTGGAAAAGTTCTTCTAAGAACATACCTCAGTGGGAAATGGAAACTATTTTGGATGGCCCCCATGCCTATTGGAAGCTACAAATTGTGACATAGAGCTCTTGCCAAAACACAAGAACAAGATAGAAACCAAGACGTAAGTCAGAAGTATCTTATGAATTTGAGAAAGTTAAACCTCTTTGAAAACATTTCCAGACAGAAATGAAAACAAAACTAGGACAGCAACTTCATCAGATACGATGAAGTAGGCTTACTTTTCATCAACACTCAACATTTTATTCTCTCAGGATGCTCTCAATTACCCTTCACAGAAAAACTTTTCTTTCCTCATCTTAAGAGAGAAAAAAAAAAAAAAAAGGATAATTTTGTTTTACTGACTTGTTGCCCACTACAATTGCGCTGCCTGAGTCAAGAGGTCAGGAGAGGAAGTAGACATTTAACCATTTAGTCTCAAAACCCCACATTAGCAATAGGCAAATAATTCTTTCTAAAACATAAAAAATAATCTCATACAAAATCTTAGGTCCAGCAATATCAGTTGCAAATCTTTCAAGACTACTTTCTGCTGAACTGCAAAACTTAACGGGAGCAAACCCACTGAAGGAAATAAGACTTTTTTTTAAATGTATACATGACATTCCTAGTGCTTCCTCAGTTTGTTAATTCTGATCTTCTATAAAATTATCTTGTCAGGATAAATGTTCAAATAATGTTGTCAACTTTTAATACGTTGAATGTTCACATAGGAATGAAGAGTTCACCATACACCTGAGGCAGTTATCCTGTTTTTGCACCGATAAATACATGATGCTATCAACCAACTAATTTTCTTTTATTACTAATCTCTCACCAACTTCAAGAGGAGGAAGAAAATTAGACCCTATTTAAGAGATTTAATTAACACAAAGTGTGTATTTTGGCCAACTTACACTGCTTATGAGAATTTTGAAGGAGAATAGGCCAAGGACTGTAAAATGAGCTACTTGAATTTACATTATGTACTTACAGCCTCGTACAGGTTACCTAATGCTAAAAGCAAAAAATAAACTGTAAGGAGCCTCTAATTCACTATCCAGAAAAACACAAGCTCAAGTGAAGGGAGATGTTAACTGTTGAGCTGGAATTCCTTCACAAGAAGGCAGAGATGGAAATACAATCCAGTACAAATGTTTGGAGTAGTGATAAAAAACAAACAGCATATGCTGCTTAAAGATAGACTATGGTATTTTTTTGGGTGATGCAGTGGGGAGAAGCCAAAGGAATTAGCTTCTTCAGAGACCTCTGGGCTCATGCTGACAATGCCAGAGAACAATTTAGCTTAGAGTTTCAACCTCAAGAAAGGAAAAAGTAAACAACAGCATGAAAAAGGCCACACACGCCTCCCATTGTCAAAAAGTCGATCCACGATTTTTTTGTTGTTCACAATAACTACTTACTACCCACGCTACTAATATTAACATTTTCTTAACATTAACATGCCCCTCTACTGCCATGAGACCCCACCTGCACTGCATCCAGCTCTGGGGCCCCCAGCACAAGAAAGGCATGGACCTGTTAGGAGGGCCACGAAAACTGTCAAAGGGCTAGAACACCTCTCCTATGAAGCAAGGCTGTGAGAGTTTGGGTTGTTCAGTCTGGAGAAGAGAAGAGTCCAGGAAGACCTCATTGTAGCCTTTCAATACTTAAAGGGGGCTTGTAAAAAACAACAGAAAAGGGCTTTTTTACGAAAGCCTGTAAGTGACAGGACAAGGGGCAATGGTGTTAAACTGAAAGAAGGAAGATTTAGATTGGACATAAGGAAGATAGTTTTTACGGTGAGGGTGCTAAGACACTGGAACAGGTTGCCCAGAGAAGTTGGGGATGCCCCATCCTTGGAACTGTTCAAGGTCAGGTTGGCTGGGGCTTTGAGCAACCTGATCGAGTGGAAGATGTCCCTGTCCGTGGCAGGGGGGTTGGACTAAATGGTCTTTAAAGGTCCCTTCTGACCTAAACCATTCTATGATTCTATGATCTTATTAATTCACTGCATTTTATTTTTGAGCAAGACAGTAGCTTTGCTCCAAAAGAACAGATGCCGACAGTAAGTCATCTTGAAACTTCAAGGAAGAGAGACTGCACCCATACAGCTCCCAGAGAGGTTTTACCAGGGAGGCCCAGGGGGTATAAATAGAGAGATGCAAGGGCTGGAAAGGACCCCCCCGTGACACAGAATCCAGATCTCTTCCCTTCCCCCTCTCCCCAGCAGCAGGCAGTGAGCCCAAACAGGTTTAACGCAATACCTCCTCCATGAGCTCTGCACTTAAGAGACAGCAGCATACCTCCCAATACCAAAGAAAAACTTGAGATCCACAGGAAAAACACTGAACCAAAAGCAAGACACAGAAATGAGTAGGGGATTAAAAATTGTGCTGCTGGTTCCTCTACTAACAGGAAGTTGAGGAGATATCTAAAAGCCTCTAGGAATTCAGCACTGAGAAAGCTTCATTTTTAGAGCAGAGAGATGTTCAGCACTGTGAATGTCCAGGTTTTATTAAACAACTCTCCTCTTGAAAACCACTGCTTCCTTCTTAAAGCCTTGTCCTACACTTTGAACTCTCTGCTGAACAGGGCCATCCCTCAGTGCCTGGTCTACACACGGTTTGTAAGAGGATATGAGATCATATCTATTGCAACACAATATTTATTAAGGCACTCTTACAAGTGCCAAAAGAGGGAGAGACAGAGGTCACAGAGTGGTTCAGGCTCACTCCTGAAACAGCCAGAACTTCAACCTGGTCACCAGCACATCTCAGAGCAACTAACTGCTGAGCTACTACCTCTTCTTCACTGAGGAAAGGGTGTTCCTGTGATTTCATCTGTGGGATTCTTACTCCCCACGCCCCAAGACCACAGTTCTGCTCTTAAATGGGAAGAAAAAAGCACAGAAAGTTTTAATTTCTTATCAAATTGAATACTCATTTTTCAACCTGTTGGTTCTTTTCCAAAGAAGGAAGGACACCAGTGTCATGGTTTAACCTCAACCAGCAACTAAGCCCCACACAGCCACTCGCTCGCTCCCCCCTAGTGGGATGGGGGAGAGAATCAGAAGAGTAAAAGTTAGAAAACTCGTGGGTTAAGATAAAGGCCATTTCACAGGTAAAACAAAAGCTGTGCACACAAGCAAAGCAAAACAAGGAATTCATTCCCTCCTTCCCATCAGCAGGCAGGTGTTCAGACATCTCCAGGAAAGCAGGTCTCCATCACACATGGGAATCATCTTTGCACTGTTTGAAACCTCAAGAGACTGCTTGGCATGAGTGATACAATATACCCCAGCATGGTAAGGAAAGGCAGCATGGAGGATGTCGTGGCTTGGGGAAAACAAAAACAGGGAAACGGGAGAAGGACTACTGCAGAGCTTTAGTGCATGGACCAAAAATGTTTTGGCGACTGCCAAACATGCACAGTCTTGGCTATCAAACTATACCATAAAACAAATAAGATGACAGACCACATTACATGCCTACCACGATGAAGAGAAGTCACGATCTCCCACTACTCTGGATACATCTGATCAGTAAACAGCATGCCCATGAAGGTGATAAACAGCAACTGGGACAAAGAAAGATTCACATTTCAGCTCCTAAATGGTGCTTTAGAAAAAAACAACCCAATATACCAAGTATGTCGTGCATAGAGAAGTATCATATATCACTACATGGCTAGCTGACCCACAGACTTGACAAATCTGTTATTGTTTCCATATTCCTTGGCAAAGCAGAGGCATGTTAAAACCATTTTCCTCCTAC